TGGACTCGCCATTGTTTTTGATGTATTCGTGAAGGAAGTCCTCCAGGTCAGGTCCTCCGGCTTTGACGAGGCCCCGATTCGCGCTTGGCTGCAGCCAAGTCCGCCTTACAGGTAAGGCAGTTCTTCTGCTTCTTTGCTCGGCGGCGCTTTCTGCAAAGACTGCACAGCTCATCTACCAGGGAGGCCGGCAGCGGTGGCACATGGTTGTCAAGCTGCCCCGTGGCAGCAACGCCCGACCCTGCAGCCAGTGTCCCTGAATTTGCCGGGGGTGGTGAGGTCCCTGAAGCATCAGACACACCAAAGCTGGCTGCCTTCTCCGGAGATGTGATCTGCTCCTCAGGCTTGACAGATGCTGGCGACTGGGGCGCATCAGCCAGCCTGGAATTATTTGGGCTGGCCGGATCGACCATATCCACATCATCAGGAGCAGCAAACATGACGTTTGGCAAGATTGGCCACAAACAAGCACTCGCAGAGGCCAGGCGGCACGAACTTCGCAGGCTTGAGGCAACAAGGCAGGTGCACAACAAGCATCAAGATGCAGCTCAAGATCAATTGCACAAGGAAGCCTAATCCTGTCCTTGGAAGATGAACCTAACGCAGATGTCGAGCGAAGACGCTTGAGAACTCCAGCAGTGGCCTTCGAAGGCCTGGTCTGTAGGCCAAAGGAGGCGGCCACAATCTGGCAGTCATCACTGCTGTCATCGCCACCATCATCACCTGCTGAGCTAGAGGCCGGCGCTCCTGTCAGATCCTTCTCAGAATCTTCACGCAACAACTTCTGAGAGTCAGAGCGAGGCACCAATTTCAGGTCGGTCTCTGACTTTCGGTTTGAGGACGCTGGGCGCTTCATTGTCAGGGCTACAGCTCAAAACTTTTGATTATTGAAAGATGGAAAGTCTCCTGAAATCTTATGTCAAAATGGACATGTGACATCTGACAGCATGTGTGGTCTGGTCATGTTCTGCTGCACACCATGAATGCTACTTCCAAGTGGCACACAGGGGTGATGTTTGTACATAATGACTTGGCGGCATGTAAATCACGCAAAACTTGTTGAAACTGCTTGTGGCAACCCACAATGAGTCCAAGCTAGTGCAAGTGCAGGTTTGCAGTCTGATTGCACGTTGGTTGCGCTGATCCGGGAAGCTGTGAGCTGCTTCACATGTTTGCACACTGCTGCAAAGCTCGACCCACCCCATGCCACACAAAACCACAGAGCCAGCTGAAGATACAACGCATTCACACATGTTGAGAAATCACAGGTCACAGGAATGTTTGGCAATGTACTTGTCGATCACATCCAACATATCATGAAAGCGTCACTGTCGATGTGAGGCAATGAAGCACTGTGCGCATGAACACAAGCCATTCCTGCAACATTGTTGAACATGTCTCACAACCTCTGGCAAACCTCATGCACTTGAGGCCCCGCAAGAACACAAAAGCTGGCAAGCTTGAACAGAATGCAGAGGATCTAACTCCAAGGGCTTATTTGTACATTGCAGAAATTTCATAATATTTTGGCTTCGCGGAGAAAGACAAGCGCCCTGAGGACCTCCAGAGCCACCGCCAGCATAATTTCCGCAAATTTCGGCCCGCGTGGCACGGTTGTGCAAAATTTGCAGAACTCAGCAACAAGCTTGCGCAAAGGACGCACTCTGAAGGGCATTTCGGAGATCTACCAGGAGCACGAGCCAAGAGACCTAGGTGGCGGCACTCGTGGAAGTGCGCGGAAGTGCGCGGAAGTGCGCGGAAGTGCGCGGAAGTGCGCGGAAGTGCGCGGAACAAGTGCGCGGAACAAGTGCGCGGAACAAGTGCGCGGAAGTGCGCGGAAGTGCGCGGAAGAAGTGCGCGCAAGTGCGCGGAAGTGCGCGGAAGTGCGCGGAAGTGCGCGGAGGAGGTCTTGGGGCGCACGGGTGTTTGGTGTGAAAATTGCTACGCAAGTGGCGCTGCGGACGGCCGTTGCGCGCAAATTCATCCAAAAAATCACCTAAAGCGGAAGAAATCTATATCGGAGGTGTTTTTCCTTGCGAGACCAAGGATTTTCTCCTTTTTGCATGGAAAACCCTCCGCGGAGGTTCTTGGGGGCTCTTTTGAAGCAAGTTGCCGCCTCGTGGCTGCGTTTCGGTTCTGCAAACACTCAGAGCTGACCAAAGCCATGTCAAAAGCCTTTAAATGCCTTTAACCATCCGCATGGCAATTGTGCTGCTGCCAGAGCTTGCAACAACTGTTGGCAAATGTATACATGTCACCCCCTGCCTCTCCTTCAATGCCGGCTTAACATGCTGATTGTCCTTGCAATGTAGCTGACTCACTCCTATGTTTTGCTTTTACCTGCCTTTCTGCAAGAGTGCCATTATAATGTACTGCCACTGTTCTTGTCGCCATTGCATCCGTGGGCATGGTGCTTCTTGCTGCTGCTGCTGCTGCTGCTGCTGCTGGAGCGTGTCTTGTTGTTGTTGTTGTTGTTGCTGCTGCTGCTGCTGCTGCTGTTTCTGTTGTTTTTTCAACCGTGGACTGCTGCTGCTGCTGTTGATGTGCTTGTTGTTGTTGTTGTTGCTGCTTCTTCTTCCTGCACTTGCTGTCCTGCTCTGCACGGAATGGCATCAACAAAAAGTCACTGATAATTGCAGCAAACATCAGCAAACTGATCTTAGTGATTTAGGTGAACCGCTCATCACAGCTAGGCTCAGCCAGGCTTGTCTGATAAAAGGTGTAAGCCCCAAGAGCAAAGAAAAAACTCATTTGGCCATGTTGCGAGAAGCCTATGTAAGGCTTCACAAGTTGCAAAAATGACTTTCCCCCCTCTTCGCAAGCATCCTAGACAGCAGACGCGTGTGTGGATTCACTTCAGAGCAGCATGGACATGAAAGTTCCAAAGCAACTGCGTCATGTTGCTGACACGTTGTTCTAAGAAAGACAGAGAAGAGACAGTGAAGCTCATGCTTTCACAAGGGCAGAAACGCAAGCCAGATATCCAACCACCTGCTGAAAATTTGTCAGTGCGGGGCAAGTGAGTTCAAGAAAAGGAAATCTTGGGGAGGGGGAGGATCCGCGGTTCACATACATCGAAACATGGGTGGAATTCAAAATAGTTCCTTTAGAATCTCGCCCATCTATTTATCATCAAATACTTTCGTTCCGAAGTATCTATTCGCAAGCACTCATGAATTTGTCTCATACCAATAATCCTCACGCAGGCTCAGCGGGCTTCCTTCTTTTTGCTTTCACAAGCGGAGGGCCATAGGCCAACCGGGGTCAGTCTCGGGCATATGCAGCTGAACGCACAGGTTCAAACACAGTGAACACGCAGGTTCACAGAAAGGGATTTCCACACATGCGCGATGTGTACGCTTGGGTTCACGACCCATTCACTCCCCCCCGAAGTATTGCAAACGAACAGTTAAATTTTAAGTGTTTGCCTTGACCTCAAAAATGTGGGAGGGCAGCTGGGACTTGATGTTTGAAGATTTCATGCTTGTCTGCTCACATGCATGCAACAAGGAAGGCGCAGATGCAGCTGAGGCACAAAACTTCAAGTTACAGGCACGCAAGCTTTCAAAAATGCAAGTTTCCAACACGCACATGTTCTGAATTGTAAAACTTTGTGGGCACCGCCACCACTGACCACATCCACCACGGCGAACGCCTCACTAACCTCCACCATCAACAAGATGCACAACAACGGGGGCACGTCCAAAATCACTTGCCACATGTCATCAAAAATTTTGGACAACACAAAACGCTATACTCATGACATGTAAGTCTAACACTTGTTGGCATGACGTGACCACACATGCAGCTACCCTCCCCCTGTCCCTCAAGATAAAGCCATCATCTACGGTGAGAATGTTCAAGAAGAGAAACCTTATGCTGCAGACGCATGAACTTGGACAACTTTTCCTGATCACGCATTATGGTCCGGAATATCTGGCATGTCCGCTGCTTCTAGAGCTTCATCTGTCCAAGTGCTGGGCACAGCAAAGGCTTGATGCTGGGCACGCTGGGGGTCTGTACCATTGAACTCAAACCTGGCCGCATGCACACACCACGTTTTCAACTTTCGAATGACTTCCTCTTGATCCGAGTCCTTAGACCAAGTAGCGGTCCTGGTGCATTTTGTTGTGTTGTAAGAACGGCTGTGGTATCTGCACAGCACCATGTACCCAGGCTTTTGCTTCGTGGAAGGCTTTCGGAAGGTAAATCTGAAGCCACGCCATTCAAACGTTTCATCACGGCGAACACGCTTTGTAACTCCCGCAGCATCTGCTTCTGGATCGTCTTGTTTGGGCTGTTGCTTACGCTTTTTAGTAGCTCTAGCGGGAGCAGGATCAGAATCACCAGCAGGATCAGAATCACCACTGTCGGAATTTGCAGATTCTGAGCTTGAAGTGGAAGAACCTGAGGAGGAGCTGAAGGATTCCCCCAGCGCATCATGAAATATCGTAGCATTTGAGTCGGACGCCTCAGATTCTTGCCAGGAGCACGAACACTCGACACACGATGTTTAAGCACATGACTGGAAGGAAGCTGCAAAATAGCAGCAGGCGCAGACATATGCTACCGAGAAACTCCAGCCTCTGCAGCCTTAGCAAAGCAGTCGCAAGCCACAGCACTAAAGGTATGGCTGGGGTCAGGGATCAATCTGCTCGCCCAGAATGCAACCCAGCAGCTGCATTGTCTTCATCAGGCGCATCCACGCTCTTAGGAGGAAGCAGAAAAGGAATCAAGCAGAACCCATCAAGGCAGCCGCTTCAACTCCTCTTTTGCGCAACCAAGGAGCGGTGGCATGATTATGTTCGTCATCCACACCAGGGTCCTGAGAAGAAGAAGACTAGTGAAGGTCTAACAGAATCAAGCAAATAAAAGCAAGCAGCACCACTCCAAGGCATGCAGGTCTGGCTGCAGTCAAGCAGCCGTGCCATTAGATTCAAAGCTCCCGACTCCAGCCTGATGGGCGCGCATAGCGCTCAGGGTGAGATGATGCAGAAGAGGCATTAGCTGTTCTGCATGTATATGAATGCACTGGCAATCTTGTGCAAACGAGCAGCTCCATCATCAGAGTGTGGAGACAGCATCTCATCCACCAAACGCTGCAAATGTTCATTGGAAGAGGAGGACGACTGAGCATCATCGTCCTCATCTTCATGTGGATCTGCATCAGCCGCCTGAGCATCCAGCGGCAGTTGGGCATCCGGCAGTTGAGCATCACATGGCTCAAGACCCACTGCGTTGAAAAGGTCTTCAAGCGAATCAGGATGTTGGAAATTCTGCACGGCAGGCGCTGGGCCATCTGCCAGAGCAGGCAAATTTGCACGCCGAAGACCAAGCAGTTTGCCATAGTATTCATCTTTCTCAAAATGTTTGATTTTGTCACCGCCCCCTGGCAAAGGAAGCCCCCCTTCTGCCATTGCCAAACAGCACAAGTAGCGCTGACGCAGGCAGCCTCGAAAAATGTACAAAACCCTGTCATCAGCACGTCTGAACTGCAAGTCCAAAGGCACAACAGCTCCTTGCTCTTCTTTGTTGGACAAGAATTCCCAGCCCCAATCTCGATTGCGCAGGTAACAAAGCAACTCCATGCGTGACCAGGAGACAGCAGGCATACCCTCTGGGGCAGCACACAGAGGCTTCGGACTGTTCAGCCTGACCTGGAACTTACAATACTGCATTGCTTCCTGGAGCAAGAGCCAGCCGCTCTGCTCATTACGGTTATGAACATTCTGAACCAGCCCCGCTGCTTGCAAATGTTCCAAGGCCTCAAGCTTAGGGCCGACGCCCTCCTCATCATGTGACAAGTACAAAGGATTCTCCTGAACGCTTCCGGCAAGTGCCCCCACACGCGCCATCTCCGAAACCAAGTCGCCAACAGAATCCTGCACATAGGAGGGGAAACCTGGCAAGAACCTTGGAGCAAATGTGGCCTGCAGAGATGTTTGGCTCCACTGCGAAACTGAATCAATTGCATCACGGACCGTGTCCACCACGGGAGGATCAAACAATCTGATGCTCAAACGGCCCGAGTCAGTCCTATCAGGCAACAAATCCACAGAAGCTGCCATCATGGAGCCGCCAGGCTTTGCAGCATGAATGGACACAGCCACATCGAAATGGCCAAGTTGCCGGCTGAATGCATCTGCTGCCTTCACTCGTTTGTAGCCAGTGAGGTTTGTCTTGACCACCTTCCAAGGCATGCAGGTCAATGCTGAGAAAGGCGCGTGCTAAGCCCCGCGCTAAGGTTTGCAAAAGTCTCGAACGGCTGACCCTTGATTACAAAGCCAAGCTTTGCAATTGGATCCTGAAACAGAAAGTCAACCACCATCACCCGGCACCAGTCAGTCTGAGAAGGACGGTTACAGTTACAAGCCCGAGGCGCCTGCAGAAACAAAGTTGGAGCGGTGTCGGCAGGCAGCACTAAGGCCTCTATTTCCTCCCCTGGCTCAGCAGGCTCTGCAGCCAAGGACAGATCTTGTGGATCCGGGCTCATGAACACCCTGTCAGGCGGCACATGAGCATGACCCTGAGGCATCTGCAACTGCAAGGGCAAAGCTTCAGGAGCACGTGCAGCTGGCTGCATTCTAAATACATCTTCCAAAAGGCGTGGTTCTGGCAACGCTCCAGTGACAGAGTACATCTGCCCTTCACACGAATTCTTGCTGAAGTGTTCTAACATAAGCACACGAAGCATTGCACGCTGCTTCTCCAAAGCTGTGGGCTGCCCTGCAACAAGTTGTCGGAGCTTGGCCGCCGCATCTGGATCATCCCTAAAATCTGGGCGGGACAGGGCTTTGGCTGCGGCTGAGCGACGATCGTACTGCGTAAGAAGGTCACAATGATAAATCACATTGGCAGCATCCCTGAGTTTAATCCTGTTGGGGCCGTTTTGAAGACGCAAAATTTCAGGATGCCGCATAAAGTCCAAATGCATTAACACATGCGGAGCACCTTGACGAGGCCTCACCTTCAGTCTAAGAACCTGGCTTTCCCAGACTCGAAAGAGCTGCTTGTCGGCAAGACAACGGCGGTGAAATTCGTGGGATCGGATTGCCAGGGAAAACGTGGCAGGTGAAATCCTTTTCATCACAGCTGTCTTAGCCTTCATAAGGGCGTGTCTACCTTCAATGCTCCGCTCCACACATGAAACAAAAGCCAAGGCAGCAGACTCACGCAACAATTGCGTACAATCATCTCTGCCAGTGCTTCCTGCTAAGAAAGAGTCCACTGGCAATGACAAAGGTCCTTGAAAGAAATGCAGTGTCAGCGCATGATGATTTGGGCTGTCTCTGTGCTGCTCAAACATGTTCTTCGCTTCCTGCAAACCATCCCTGGCCACCTGCTCGTTATGGTGCCCCAACACGCACAGCTTGTGAGGCAGCGATTTCCAAAAAGACAATTTAACCAGCAAATATTGCTCCAGTCTCGCCTGCCCTGCAGCAAAATCTTTCAGGATGAACTCTGACTGATGAGGCTGCAAAGTCCGGCAAGCAGAAACCAACTCTGCACGTTGAAGAGCAAAATCATCACTAGCAATCTTGTCAAGAATCCCTGCAGCCAATTCAGGGGCCCGGCGTCCCGCCATGCAGCAGCTCGAGCGCGTTTGGAAAATGACATTTCCAGCCAAGGAGGATTCAGGCACTTTGCGATAATGACATGGACAGGATTCGAAGAAATGTTCCAAGCGGTCTATTACCCGAGACAAACGGATAAGCATACAGAGATATTCCCAACAAGACTCGTCTCGCACACATTCTGTCATCTTGCATAAAGCAGCATACGTCTCCCTCACTTCTTGATCTGCATTGACATCAGGGGCTGCTTCTTGCGGATCCCAATATGCAAACACCATGCGTACAAACAGCAGCTCTTTGCATGTGTTAATCAGTGACCCCCACCGGTGCTTGTGAAGGTTGAGCTCAAGCTCCCTCACTGGCATTTCCATGCCACTGGCCTCAGATTCACGCAGAACCTCAACCACGAAGCGCTCACGAGTGTGCTTATTGAAGACACGTGCAATTGCTTCGACTCCAGGCAAGAACCAGTCCTCATAGTGTTCAAAAGCTTGAGTGAGATCTTCCACAGCTTTATGCAGCACACGCAGCGCACCCGGGACTTGAAGACCTAGTGGAAACAGCGTTGGTAGGAGCAGTCTATCTCCTTCCCATTGCAAGTGTGGGCTTATGATAAGCGGCTCAACTTCACCTGGGCTGGCGCCTAACGGAAGCTCAGCAGGACCTGGCTGAATCTCATCAAAACTGAGGCCATCAAATGTCCATGGAAACATGTCTGAAAGATCAATGTTGCGGGACTCTGCCAACCCCACCTCGGTTCCATAATCTGTGGTAATGGCCCTGACACTGCCCAAAAAATTTGCCACTGCTGGCCATGAACCAACTTCCAGCCGCAGGGTATGCAGCAGCGCGTGATTTTATGAACCAGCTGAGCACGACGAGAGCCTTGAGCGGTTGGGGGACTCAAGTGAACATCCACTGCGGGCCGCCCATTATTTGTGAGTGCAGCGTTGAGACGCCTGTCCAGGTCTCTCCGAGCATCATTAACCTGTTCCATTTCGTCCTTCAAAACGTTGATGTCATGTTGCCCCCGGCCTTGATTTGCATCATCTAGCACCGCCTGCAGCCTGACAAGCCTCTCCCTAGTTCTGGCAAGTTTCCAAGTGACTGCGCACCACTCACCGAGGTTGTTGGGGGAGAACGTGTGCGTCTCTGTCAGAAGCCAATCGAACCCTCTCTGCGGGGATGAGTCTACCAAAACACATCTCACAGCATTGCTCCCGGCGTCTGCAACAAGCTGTCTCATGACGTACATGAAGCCAACATCAACTGCCAACCTCCATCGGCTGACGGCGGCAGGGCTCGGTGCCTTAAGCAAGCCTCGGTCTATGGCCTTCAGGAGTTCAGGAGCCTGGTCTGGCAGAAGCATCACCACTGCATGTCGCATCTGCCTCTCTAAAGTACCCGAATCTCGCAGCAGCGTACAACTTTGTACTGCAGCAACAATGACTTTGGAAGAATACGAATGCTTCTGATGATGCAAATCTTTGAATGGACATTTGTCTGAAGTCACGGAACAATGCAACGCATCCATTTGGAGTATCTGCACATCAAGCTGAAAAGCAGCGGCATCATCATCTGGCAAAGAGGAACGGTATTTTGCAAGACTTTCCCGTACTTCCAATAATGATTCAAAGCCCGTGGAAGCCACTTGCACCCGCCTTGTCGAAAGCTGATAGTTGGCTAGGATGCCGGCTGAAGAATACAGAGTCCGGAAATCTGCAACAAGAAAGTCACCTGCCAGGACAAACAGTTGAACAGTCGGAATGAATAGTATTGATATGGGCTGAAAGGTTGAAAGGGGTAAGCTACTTACGGCAAATTGCAAAACGCGACACTACAGCTGCAGTCACTCATGCGGCATGCCTTGTGGAAATGGACACTGAGATGCTCCACCCAATCGTGCTAAGATCGCCCACTAAATTAGAAGACGCTCTTAAAGTCTCGATATAAAAAACACGAAAAAGCTTCATGGTTCAGCCCAGTCCTATGGCATGAAGCTTGCATTGCACAGGCAAATCTGAGTAGACTGAACTTCACAAAAGCTATATAGCAGACAGCCTCGTGGTCTTCGAAGAAGGTCAGGTGCGCAGCGGCAGACATCAGCCAAGACGTGCCACTTCGTTCGCTGAATCAAGACAACCAATGGATGCAGGCTTGTAAACACCACAAACTCATGCTGGTCTGGGGGAACCCCCCACTCTTGGAAAGACTCTGCACAGGAACGACCGTCAGTACAAGGAGCAGCAAGCAGCACCTGCAATGCTTCATCTGATAAGCGGACAGTCCAGGAAGACCGGTCTACAGCAATTTTCAAATTGTTTGCGAAAACTCGATGGTCCATGGGCGCATTAAAAGATGTGGCATCCAAAACATCGAATAGTAACCATTGCGGCTGCAATGCATGCACATTAGGAGAACCCCATGCATGCCAAAGGATATAATCCTCTCTCTGTGAAAGAATGCCCATATGTTTCAAAGGTCGAGCAGGCTGCAAACGCACGGCACCCACTGTGAGCTGGTTCTCTGCTGGCCAAGTACCATTTTGAAGCCACTGATTGAAATGAGATGTGTCTTGATCACTCAGTCGGCATGTCCGCATGGCAGATTCAATGCGCTCGACATCTGAAGCTCGCAGTTGAAGCTCTGACGCCTTGAACCTTGCATGACCTTCCACAAGCGCTTTGTGACGGTGTTTGCCTGCACTTCTTGTGGCCCCGACCCAAGGAGTAGCCAGCAAAACCACAACCATCATGAAACCATGGCCCACATGGCGAACAATCATTTGGTAGGCGGTTACATTGATATCACACAACATTGCAATCAACAGAATTCACAATACATAACCGTGTTTGCAATAGACTAATGGTACGTTGAGCGCTACTCCTCCCAAAACTCACGCATATGCCCTGTGACAAAAATCTTGTAAGTATCACTGTCGCTGTGCCACTATTCTCTCTGGAGTCGAAAGCTGCAAAGAAACTGAAATCTAACTCCAAACACGCACGGCGCTCTCACTGAATTTGGAAAAATGGACATGGACTCACGAAGCACAAGATATACATCTGGTCTGTCCCACTGCAATAGCCAAGACAACACAGTTCTGCTGAACTCACAGATTATTTGCAGTTGATATTGAAATAAAACGTGATTTGCCGCTTGATCCAGTTTGAGGCTTCAGGTTCTACATGATATTTCAGTTCTGTGAGTCTTCAAGCGAAGCCCCATCCTTTACGCAGCACTGCAGCAATGTTCAATATTATCTTCGTACTAGAAATAGACTGAAGAACTTCTAGTCTTGAAAGCCCCTACTTTGCTGATGTGAAATGTGTTAACAAAGTTCCCATATGTGTCTTCGGGGAGAGTACAATCAACAACAACGTCGGTTTGGGTGGAGAAGGAAATCGCCCAACTCCTTGCCGGATTCACAGTCCAAACCGCACGAACATTTTCATCTCAGTAGGAACATCAAAGTCAATAATGACGTGTGGCCCTCCTTGCTGTTGTTTCACTTCACACTGCAATGTTTTGTTGTAGTGGGGCATGCCCCCTGCGCACTTCGAAGCTTCTCACTGATGTTTGATGTTTGACGCCTTGCCAACCGCAAAACGCCACTTCCCAGGCAATGTGTTCCATGTCAGCAATCCGTGTTTGATTGGGAGCGTTTGTCTGTCCTGTCTGTCACGCTGTACTTTAGTAAACCATGTGCTGGTCTGTCACAAGCAAGGGTTATGTCGGATTGATTGTTTGCATCTGAAGTTCTGGCACGAAAAATTGCTTCATCATTTTTGAAGCCACTGGCTCCCCAGCCTCGGCTTTGGCAAGCCCACAAACTAGAACTTATATGGGGTAGTAAGGTTTAGGGTTCAGGTTTAGGGTTGCCGATTTAAGGTTTTTTTTCTTTTTTTTCTGTGAAGCACGGGCTGCAGGCTTCGCGCGGCCTACGCATCATATGGTATCATCCACCCACCCAACCGCCCGGTAACCATCCACCCAGTCCACAGGCAGCAGCTTCCTGACTTCCTGCTAGCAGCAGCTTAGGGGCTATTTCAGAAGTTCTGAAGCGCCAGGCAATTTGCAGTAAGTATGGCAAACACCAACAGCTCTATCCGGAAGCAACGGATTGGAAGTGAAGCCAAACACCAGCAAGTCGAAGTTCAACATCATTTTGCTTGCGACTATGGAAAGTATGCTCCATCATGTGAAGCAAGGACCGACACAGGGGCATCTGCACGCACTACCCAGAACTTAGGGCTACCGGGCGTTGGTTGCAATTACCTAGTAGGGCCTTGCCTCAACACAAAACGAAGAGCAATAAAGAGGCCCTCTCGCTTGGTGTCATTTGCAATCCAAGATCAACCTGCATCAAGCTCTTTTTGTGTCTCGGCCCACGCCGCTTCCTCCAAGTCAGGATCTTGCCTGCATTTCAAGCGGTCACACGTGCTGCGATTTAAGCTAGAGGCCAGCATGAGCAAAGTGTCAACAGACATGGATGGCCTCTTCACATGAGGCTGTGTGTTACCGGATCGAGGCATCCATCCTGCTATACGGAAACCGCTCTGGATATCCTGAATCAAGCTCTCGTCTGGACATTTGGCTTCTTTCATCATTTCAGCCATCAGCAGAAGTCGCTTTCCGCTAAGGACCTTTGCCAGGTATGGGGGCATCCTAGCATGCAATTGGTTCTCCTCCGGCTGGAGAGCGCGCGCTCTATCCGTCCATTTCTTAACAAAGTCAATCCTCAGTTTTGCCGAGTGATACGGCGCATGCACAAAGTTAGCCTTGATGGCTTCATGGATGGCAGGCTCCAACATGAAGTCAAAACCACGAGGATGCCCTACTTCAAAGGCTTTGTCAATGAAGTTGGCAGGGCTACGCGGCACCCCAATGGTAAACAGCTCTAACTGTGCCTCCTTCCACTGCGCTTTTACTGCAGGATCGCACTTGCTGAGGTCGGGCGCCCCATTAAAGACGGACCGGAATCTCCCCCCGTCCCCAACCTCCGTCTCAAAACTTTAGAACCCTTTGGCAAACCTTGCAAGAAGTCCTCTACGGCTTTTGGCAGGCACAAGAGGACCAAAGGCATGTCCACGTGGCTGGACCCCGAGAGTCACACGTGTAGCTTTTTGGTCCATGCTGATCTGCGGATGTGCGTTAATCAGCTGCAATTGCGGGAAACAAAGCTCAAGCAAGGCATCCATGAGTCTTTGGCACAACAGGAGCGGATAGGCAGCTTCGTCTGCCGTGCCGTGGTGAAGTGAAGTCGATTGCCAACACGCTTTGGAGTCCATGGCTTGCGCCAATGACTGCCGTCGCAAAACATGGATAACTGACTGAACACAGGCTCCGCGTATGTTTAGGTCTCTGGCCACCATGGCAGCAAGAGTGAAAATCCACATTGCGGCCATTGCAGAAAGCTTTCAACTCCAAAAAGAAAGTCATCATCCAATTTGGGCTAGTGGCAGGATTTTCAATTGTCACCAAGATGCCAAGAGAAATGCATACTATGGATACGCGGGTCACCTGGGCATACAACTGATTGGCCAGCTCAACCTTCTTTTTGTCCAAGAAACTCAGCCCGGGCAGCATATCAGGAAATTGTGCATTGCGAAGCGGCACAGGTATTTTGAAACCCTTTCGCGCCCACTTGAGGAGCTTCCGCTCTCGCGCAAGGCTGGCTGCGCCACAGGGCGGCGCGATAAACACCAAAGCA